CATATACTCTTCTGAGAATGAGTTGGGATTTAGGGATTATACATTAAAGATTAAAAAAATATTGCAATAAATTATGTTTAATAGGAACAGAGTGAAATTTGTGGTTACGGGTGATTATTTGTCTGGTTATATTAAACAGAAGAAAGATTCTTTTTAAGAAGGAGGTGGGGGAGGGAAAGGGGGATGGAGGGAGGAGGGGGATGTCATGCATTGGGGGAGCAGTGGGGGATGTGATATCTCTATTTCTTTTGTACAGACAGGGACTGAGAGATACAGAATTTTGTATTTTACGAGAAGCAGGACCAGATCCAGGGAGATACAATGTAGTAGGAAGGAAATACAGTAGTTTATCTGTAATCGGTAGAGAAAAGCCATATGTGAGTGGTATTTCCCTCCTCCTGCCAAACAGCTGCATTTAGTCTCATCTCTTATCACACTGAGTAACTGACCTCAGATATAGCAACAAAACTGGCCACTGTCCAGCCCACACAACACACCACCAGACCTTCGCTGTGTGAAGGATGAGGTCTGTGTCTCATTTTTGGCTAAATTGATCAAATTTGTTTGTCCTGTTCTCCATTTCTATGGAGACGTGGTCTAATCAGACCAAATTGGAAACTGTTTAGTGTCAAAAGGCTCAGGCCATGTCCAGCTTATCTTTTATATGTTGAATATTGTCCATCAGTGTTACAAATCAAGGACACCAGTGATCGTAAATGTCACAAAGGTTAAGGACATCAATGACTGTCAATGATACAGAGGTCAAGGACATTTGTCAGTGTCACAGAGGTCAAAGACATTAGTTATTTTCAATGTCACAGGTTTTAAGAATGTCAATGATTGTCAATGTCACAGAGGTCAAGTTTGTCAATAACTCAACACCAAGAAGGTCATAGACATGTGATATTATCAAAGAGGAATGTTGTTACTGAGTTTCTATGATACATGTCCCAGAAGGAACAACAGGCCAAACATTTGCTTCACTCGTAATCAAATGAATAAACATTTTATATTCGAGAATGATAAGATCATGCCTTATTTTTATGTTACATAGTGTATATATAATCAATGCCAGCTGTAGCCAGACACCATGTTTCTATGTTTCTGTAGTGGAACATGTGGTCATTGATGGTCAATTATGTATGTACATTGTTGGTTATGTTGTTGTGGTCAGCCATGTTATAGTAGACAGCTGGACAGACTGTTTTTATAGGTGGAACTGATTTTGAATATACTAGGTGTAGTTAAAGAGTGGCTTTGTAGTAATAATAGACCTTCAAGACTTTGTTGGTGTGGGGGTAGAGATTGGGTAGGGGAGGGGCGGTGATCAGATGGAGGTCGGGGGCAACTTGGGTTAAAGTGATGAAAACTGGGATAATATAAGATTTGTTGATGACTTGCATAGGTTGAAGCCACCGGGTGTTCAGAGGGTGTGGCCAGTTTGTGGGGAGGGGACCACTAGTGGCAGGCATTGACAGGCACAGGAACAAGTGTGTTGTTGATTAGATGGTGGGAACGCCAGACAGAAACAGACATACATGTGCTTCTGGTTTTCTCTGGTGGGAACTGAGGGTAGGGCCAATCTTGTACAGATGTGGGTTACAGGGAATGGGGTCAGGGACAGTCAACTCAAGGAGACAGGGAACGGGGTTAGGGACAGGAAAGGGGTCAGCGACAGTCAACTCAAGGGGACAGGGAAAGAGTTGCGGGACAGTAAAAGCAAGGGGTCAGAGACAGTCAACTCAAGGAGACAGGGAACGGGGTTAGGGACAGGAAAGGGGTCAGCGACAGTCAACTCAAGGGGACAGGGAAAGGGTTGCGGGACAGTAAAAGCAAGGGGTCAGGGACAGCAAAGGGGTCAGAGACAGTCAACTCAAGGGGACAAGGAAAGGGGTAAGGGACAGTCAAAGCAAGGGGACAGGGACAGAAAAGGGGTCAGAGACAGTCAACTCAAGGGGACAGGAAAGGGGTCAGGGACAGGGTCAGGGACAGTCAACTCAAGGAGACAGGGAAAGGGGTAAGGGACAGTCAAAGCAAGGGGACAGGGAAAGGGGTTGGGGACAGGAAAGGGGTCCGAGACAGTCAACTCAAGGGGACAGGGAAGGGATCAGGGACAGTCAAAGCAAGGAATCAGGGAAAAGGTTGAGGGACAGTAAAAGCAAGGGGACAAAGAAGGGGGTTTAGGACAGGAAAGGGGTCAGAGAGTCAACTCAAGGGGAAAGGGGTTGGGGACAGGAAAGGGGTCAGAGACCGTCAACTCAGGAGGACAGGGAAGGGGTCAGGGACAGTCAACTTAAGGGTCAGGAAAGGGGTCAGAGACAGTCAACTCAAGGGGACAGGAAAAGAGTCAAGGCCAGTAAACTCAAGGGGACAGGGAAGGCGGTAAGGGACAGTCAACTCAAGGGAACTGGGAAAGGATCAAGGACGGTCAACTTAAGAGGACAGGAAAGAGGTTAGAGAAGTCAACTCAAGGGGACAGGAAATTCAGTGAGGGACAGTCAACTCAAGGGGACAGGAAATTCGGTGAGGGATAGTCAACTCAAGGGGACAGGAAATTCGGTGAGGGACAGTCAACTCAAGGGGACAGAGAAGGTACAGGGACAGACAAGTAGAGAGAATATGGAAGGGGATCAGGGGCAGTCAACTCAAGGAGTAAAGGGTGGAGGTTCGGGCTGGTCAATAAATATGATAAGATTTCTAAATCACTCTCATGCAAACTGTTTGATTTAATATCAAAGTGTTTTAGTATTTATTCTGATGCGACTTTTGATAATTTAGGTTTTAATATAGTGGCCATTTTATTGAAGAGCCATAATTGTAGTAGTCATCACTGAAGTCCCAAATTTTCATCATGCAAATGACCATCAATGAATTCCATCTCATGATCTAAAGGTCAAGGTTACTGTCAGTATTTATGGAAATTCAACAAATATATGTTGGAGCAAAGAGTACAAGGTTCAAACACATGTGCTAATCATGACATGTTCCTCTATGTATGGATTGAAATGAATACCTGATCTTTAAATAAAAAGGATGAAACAGTTTTAAGAGCTTGTATGTATTGGTGATATAATTTTTGGAGGTAAGTTATTCATATTTATTGAATGAACTGATTATCCGTTACAAGTGTACTGTATAACATTTCAAACACACATTAACTAATATGAAAGACAGGTTTTTACTGAAACTATTTTTGCTGGTTTAAAAGGAATGGATCATAATAAGTTGATACAAAACATGTGATCAATCTAAATACACATTGTAACAGTTAGTTGAAGATTTTTGCTCGAAAATTGAAAATCGTTTGATGTTTAATGAATCTAAAGATGCTATCTTTGTAAAGACAAACATGAAAGGTAGGCCATCTTTGTTTCCATAACTACAACTGTCAGGTTCTTATCAATGGTGCCAAACATTAGTTATTACTATAGCTTGGTCTTCCTGATTAGCACCAGATTGGATCTTGACTCTCTGATGTGGGAGGGGCGATTAAGGGAGTTAATTATGATAAAAACATGGTGGAAACCCTTGTGTAAAACCCCCTATATCTAATGCTCCATCTTGTGGAAATTGACAGCAGAAAAAAAGAAATCCTGCTCGATTCTGGAGTAAGACGCTTCCGAACCTGTAGCAGCATGGGAAACAAAGTTTTGCCATGATTAATTGTGTTTTTTACTCAACATTTTCAGAGATTCTGGTAACTTGTAATCAGTGGTACCAGTATGCTTTTGTGGTAATGAAGATTGAAACGAAATTTAGTATAAGATTCCAACTTTTTTGCTTTCTGATGATACTGGTCTGTCATTTTCATGTCTGTTTCGACAGCCTCTGGTGGTTACCCCTATAATGTGATGTGTATTATAGTTACACGCTACACACACACCTCCCTCTTCAGTTTTTTCACAAGTGATATATTAATTCAGAACAAATTAAAAATTCTTATTCCATTTAAGTCTTTATCTCTTTTCAAAATTTGTTTTCTCCAATGTATCATTCCTTATAAGATTTTGGGAAGGAAGACCTCTCTTGGAGCAGAGGTACATATCTTAGTTTATGTAGTTAACATCCTTAACGATGTATGCTAATGATAACTAATGATTTTCACGACATTTTAGAAACTCAAGTAAAATGATTGTTACCATATTATTCCAGAAGTAAGCTACTACCTGACGGTAGGTCCACCAGTACACATTTTGTTTAGTGTCAATAAAAATTCCAAAAGAATGTTTTAATTAGTATTGTCCTGTAATAAGCCGATGTTTGGTTCTTATTTTAAGTCAGAGATGGGCTTAATACTAGACAAGGTTAAAGTGTTGTGGGAATTATGAGCTTATTAATAGTTAAACCACAGACTTACTACTTGATACATTTAGCACCCATTACATATAGGTCTGTTTTAGATCATAACATGTCATCCCAGTCCAAAGAAATATGCTGTTATAGGTTAATGTACGATTACATGACTTTGTCATTGTTATATTTTTTAGAAAGAAAATAGAAAGTAATAATGATTTAAATGTCAAATGCAATGAATGGAGGTGAAAAAACTGAGTAAATTGATTGTTTTGTTTTTGACAAAAAAATTGGGAGGGTAGTTGGGGGGTGGGGGGGTAAATGTGTGAAGTTCAGAAATATAATGAAGAATTAACTGTTTAGGAAGGAATACAATGATATAAAAAAGAATAAAATATATGATTTGGAGTGAGAAAGATGAATAGAGGAAAAGTAGAATGGATGGAGAGAAGGAGTATGGACAAGGTCAAAAAAAATACATATGGGAAGGTAAAGAAGGATAGACAAGGAGCAGGGAAAAAGAAAATAAAATAGATATGGAAAGGAAGGAGGAAATGAGTGACTGGAGGGATGTAGATGCCAGCGAGAGAGATGTGAAGATTGATACACAACAGCTGCTGTAGCCCTGGTTAAGTGGGTACAATCTGATGAGAGCCTGCTGTATAGGCTGCAGGCACAGGTTGTACAGCCTCATCACTGGCTCAGCCTCAGCAGCAGACGTTGTTCCACATACTCTCAGTGTATTGACCACTTAGCACAATCTCCTTCCTGGCATGTGCATTGGCCAGATTTCACAACAGGCTGACAGCGATAGTAGTAGTAGCAAGTGCTGTTTGTATGTGTGGATGTGTTGGAAAATTGAGTGAATTTCTTTTGTAAAGAATCTCTGTGGTTTGTGGATAGTGAATAAACAGCAGTGTTGATGGTATTGTCTGTATGGTACAGATTGTACTCGTGTATATACTATCAAACACCTACATATATACAAAAAGAGACAGAAACTGCCTGGATTTATGTGATACGGGGACCACAATGCATAAGGTAAGATCATGTGTTGTGATGCTTACAATATTAAATTTCTGATATTTTGAGACCTATTTGCTGTGATGTACATAGTGTGACAGATGGAAACAGATGTTGTTTTGAGGTTGGGTTTATTGGCCGTGAAATGTTACAGATAGGGAGCACTTGACTTCAGCTTGTATAGATTTGTGAGGTATGTGTGATCATGGATTACTTGCTAACAGAAATTTTCTCTACAGTAGCAAGCTAGAGTAAGAGTGATCCCATATTGTCCAGTATCTCTGGTGACTGGTGTGAGGGTGACCCTGTATTGTCCAGTATCTCAGGTGACTGGTGTGAGGGTGACCCTGTATTGTCCAGTATCTCAGGTGACTGGTGTGAGGGTGACCCTGTATTGTCCAGTATCTCAGGTGACTGGTGTGGGGGGTAGAGTTGAATTGGCCAGTGTACAGTGACCGGTGTGGGGGTGGTCCTGTATTGTCCAGTATCTCTGACATCTGGTGTGAGGATGACACTGTATTGTCCAGTATCTCAGGTGACTGGTGTGAGGGTGACCCTGTATTTTCCACTATCTCTGATGACTAGTACTAAAGTGAACCAATTTTGCCTAGTGTCTCAGGTGACTGTTAACTGTGACCCTGGATTTTCTAGTATCTCTGGAGACTGTTATGAGGGTGACCCTGTATTGTCCAGTATCTCAGATGACTGGTGTGAGGGTGACCCTGTATTGTCCACTATCTCTGATGACTGGTACTAAGGTGAACCCATTTTGCCTAGTGTCTCAGGTGACTGGTAATTGTGACCCTGGTTTTTCTAGTATCTCTGGAGACTGTTATGAGGGTGACCCTGTATTGTCCAGTATCTCGGGAGACTGGTGTGAGGGTGACCCTGTATTGTCCAGTATCTCTGGAGACTGGAGTGAGGGTGACCCTGTGTTATCCAGTATCTCAGTAACAAGTACTATGGTGACCCTAAATTGTCCAGTATCTCAGGCTGCTGGTGTGAGTGTGACCTTGTATTAACTAGTCTCCAAGGTGACTGGTACTGTGGTAACATACTATTGTCCAGTCTGTCTCCCAGATGACTGATGCTATGTTGATCCTGTGTTGTCCAGAATTTTAAGAAATAAGTGGGAGGTGGACCCCATATTATCAAATATTTCAGGTGACTAATGCTGTGTATGCTTGGTGACTTGTTGTTTTTCAACCTCGTATTGTGAGTGACTTTGGCACTTTCAGTTCACTAAATACAGGCAATATTAACAAAACATTGGTATTTTCTGTACACTATACAGAAAGTTTTGTCCCATATTTAATCAGCATTTAACCTCGTCTGGCAAGATCTAGCCTACCCATATCTATTGCTGTTCAATAGCTTTACACTTGACTTTGAGACAAAGGTTACACTCAACTTTGAGACAGAGGTTACACTCAACTTTGAGACAGAGGTTACACTCGGCTTTGAGACAGAGGTTACACTCGACTTTGAGACAGATGTTACACTCGACTTTGAGACAGAGGTTACACTCGACTTTGAGACAGAGGTTACACTCGACTTTGAGACAGAGGTTACACTCGGCTTTGAGACAGAGGTTACACTCGATTTTGAGACAGAGGTTACACTTGACTTTGAGACAGAGGTTACACTTGACTTTGAGACAGAGGTTATGTGTTGTTATACTGTGATATGTTTTGGAATATTTTGATGAACTTAAGTGTGGTTTACATTCTATACTAGATGGATTATACAAAAAATTAATTTTGTGATATGTTATTCTGTTTGGAGTGTTTCACTTTCTGTATATTAAGAACAGGAGGACAGCTTATTATTGAAATAATTAAGGCAGATTTAGGTTTGTGATAGAATTTGAAAATTGAACAAAAAAAAAAAGAATTGAAAACATTACAAAGAGAACTGAAAAGTTTAATTAGTGCTGAGATCTGATATTGACAAGGTTCGTTCTGATCTGAATTCATTGAGGAGGTCCACCAGTGATTTCCTGACTGTGTAGAACTAAACACACACCTTTCACAGTTTGCTATACTATGGCATTAAAAAGCCGATATAACATCTTAAAGTTAGACTTTGATGAGAAAAAAAAATGTGTTTTTGTAGTTTTACTTTTTTAAAATCTTAATTTATTTCGTACCAATTATGAAAATATGTTTATGTTCACATTTGCCCATCATGCATGTCAATTAATGAATTGCATTAGTTTTGCCTGGCAATCAGATTTCATAACTATGCCCCCACTTAGTTAAGGGAGGGTATATAGTAATTACCTTGTGTGTGTGTAGTTGGGTTTATAGGTGCATGCATCCAAGATAACTGTGTGTACCATCAATCTGTTTACAGATTTAGTCCATATCCATACCATATCATCATCCCAACAAGGTTTACACCTTACTGGATTTTGGTGGTCTTCAGTCTAGGTCAAAGGTCGTTATTGGCCACTTTTGGAAATAAAAAGTTCATGTACAAATGTCTCAGGAACATATTAAGGTCAACATGGGATAAGATTTTGGTGGTCGCTGTTCAAGGTTAAAGGTCAAAAGTCACACTTGACCTCTTTTGAAATAAAAAACCTTGTATACAAGATACTTCATGAATCCCTTAATATGTTAACTCCCCAACAGATTTAGATCAAAAGAAAAAGATAAGGTTTGGGATATATCTATGTGATTCCCTGCTCAGTTTAGTTTTTGTCAAAAGCATAGGTGATAAAAAACTTTATATAACTGTATATTTATAGTCATTTATGTCTTAGGCACCAACCAATAGCTAGTGGAGTACAGTTACTTACAAACCTAGCAGATGATCCACAATGAAAGATGTTGGGATATTGGTACTTGGAGAATTTCTCAACTGGAGATTTTTTCGTCTGGATTTATTTCAAAACAGTTATTATAGATCTGAAAAAGAAAATGTATAGATGATATTTATCTCACATTTTCATTGGAGATTCAATTATATTTCAAAGATTTTAGAGTCAAATTCTTCATAAAATTATTGTAGTAATTTTATTGTGTGGGTAAGACCAAATGTAAAAAAATCCATGTGAACTTGTCTATAGAGACCACTTAAGGAGGCAGAGAAAAGTGGTCATTATAGGCAAGTTCCCTTTATATAACTATTTAAGTGTCATGAATTGTGTTACATTGAGATTCAAAAACCATTAATCTTTATTGATAGAAGGGTATTTGACTGTAGTCAATAATTCTATTGTAAACTTGAGTAAGTCCTCAAAAAGAGTGTGTAAGCAACAGAGGACGAGGGGTATAAAATATATGTAGGCTGTAGACTTGTCTAGGGGCTGCAGGTCATATAGGGCATACAAACAAGTCTACATCCATGTAGTAAAAACTCCAAAGGGTGGGAGGGGGATGGAGATGGTTCAGATCCCTCCCTAAGTTTGTATGTGTGGGTGTGTTTGTACTTTTACGTGACAGTTAAAAGTGCTCATCACCATTGACATTTTGTTTACAGTGCTGTTGACATTTACACATATAATTAAAGGGAGATAACCTCTTAAGACGGGATAAATGATTGGGAAAAAAATATTACAGTGTTAATAATCCTTAAGGTAGGTACTATTGAGGAAAGTAAATGGTAAGATTTTCTTTTGCTCCCCTAAAAATGTCAAACATGCCCTTAACAATAATTAACAGACATTTTGTCTCTTATATGTTATTTTATCTTTTACTGATGCTCCCGTAAAAAAATGTCTTTAGACACATAGATATCTCCCCCTTAACAAATATTGGATGGGGGGGGATACTAAAGGAAGTATTTCCAGCAGGAAGGACCTAAAGAGGAAATTAATTTAATTCTTATGGGATAAATGAATAGTGATGTGACTAAACATAATCTTTTTCATAATCATTTTGTCACATCATTGATGTTTTGACTTAACCTACTATCAAAAATTCTTCTGCCACACATAATGTAGTTTGATCATTTATAGATATTGTACCTTTTCCGGCTAATAAACATAAAATATTAACATCATAATTCAAATCCTAGAGCGTTACAGTGTAAACCTTCATCATATGACATCATATAGAATTAATGATGATAATTTATTAAAGTATTGGTATTCGTCTGGTATCATGGAGCACTTAAGGGGTTATGCTACATTAATCACATGATGTCACATATGGAAGCTCCATCAGAGACAGAATATTCCGCCAGGTGGGAGGGGCTGCTAGGGTTCATACACTATAAGGGTAGTCACCTGTCCTGGTTTGTCTGTATGACAGCTATGGTGCGGGTGGCATTGTTTGTCTTGACGACCCCTTTGTATACAGGACTTTCCCCAGGCAGGAGGGCTGGAAGTTACGCGGGGTGATCAATAATTCGCTCAGGCGTGGCTGTGTACCCGATCTGCTTGCCACATGCTCCAGCTTTAAATGGGTGGCTGCAGGGGGTTTCTTTGGGGTAAGGGCTAGGATGTTGATTATAACAATACCACTTAAAATGTTTAAAATCATCCATTTTATCCTAGTCAAAATGAAATTCATGTACCGATGGATTCAGATTGAGATGAAAGACATCATATGAAAGATGTTTTATCCATTTCATAACATAAGGATACAGAATCTTATATGAATGTTGCAGATTTAAAATGGAAACAATTAGGATATTAGAAAGATGATTAACAGAAAAACTTCATCAATAAATTATCCAAATTTATTCTGTTAGCTGGCATATAATTACACAATGTAATTGTAACACAGAGTTTCGCTACTTTTTAGTCTATTATCAAGCCCCCTGTGGTGAGCCCCCAGAAGATACAGCTATTGTTGTTTTTAGTATGATTGTCTTGAGGCTATCAGTGTAGTGGTTTGGTTGTGACAGAAGGCCCTCGGAAGTTGATAACCTTCTATACCAGGAAGTCGGAGATGCCAGTTAATTGTGGCCCTTTATTTTGTCAAGAGTAACATCTTCATCTGTGCCTGCACACATCCTTCCGTCAAATTAGGACTTGCCAGCCATTGTGTTGCAAGGTGTTTTCATATCTATCCAAGAACACCACTTCATGTTTACATATCTCTCTGAGGCCAGATGTAGTGTGTCCATATCTATTCAAGGTCAGACTTCCGATGTTATTATAAGTATTCAAGAGACACAGATTTCCGATGTTTTCTTATCCACCCAAGGACACTGATTTCAGATGTTTTTCTATCCACCCAAGAGACAAACATTTTTGATGTTTTTATATCCACCCAAGGACACTGACCTCAGATGTTTTGATATCCACGAAAGGACACTGACCTCAGATGTTTTGATATCCACCCAAGGACACTGACCTCAGATGTTTTGATATCCACGAAAGGACACTGACCTCAGATGTTTTTATATCCACCCAAAGACACTGACCCCAGATGTTTTGATATCCATGCACGGACACTGACCTCGCATGTTTTGATATCCACGCACGGACACTGACCTCGGATGTTTTGATATCCACGCACGGACACTGACCTCAGATGTTTTTATATCCACTCACGGACACTGACCTCGGATGTTTTACATATCTATCCTAGAATACTAACTACCAACACCACCAAGATCCACCCATGGAATCTGACTTCAGTTGTTTCCTAATGTATGAAAGGACATTCTGACTTGATAATAATTCACACCTGCCAACTTTTTCATCTTTCTAAAAGACACTGACTAGTAATGTTCTGATCCAAGGATTTATAGTATTCCCTTGACTCTGTCTGTTTGGCTGTTTAATGTGTGAGGATGATACTGAAAGGTAAGAGTACACCTAAACTATGTAAGGTACAGCATTGGACCTAGCACACAGATGGGTCATACTGGAATCAATGTGAGTGTTAGAAATGTAGATTCTCTATCCAAATAATGATAACTTAATCCAGTCCAATTCTAAAATTCTTTCCCATAGCCCTATATCCACCCATCCATTTGTAAATATCTTTAGCCCACCCAATTCATTTGTCAACAGCCTAACCCCAACAACCCAATCCCCACCACCTCCATTTGTCCACAACCCTATCCTCACACTTCATTTATCAATGGTTCTATCCCCACCCTTCTATTTATCAATAGTCCTATCCCCCACCCTTCATTTATCGACCCCTCCATTTATCAACAGTCATTTCAGGTGTCATTATCTTCTTGTGATTAACAATACTTACATATTTTATCTTGATAGTGATAAGCAATATTGTGTACCAAATGTAGGTTGCTGTGACCTTTTCCATTAAACAAAGTGGTGGGAGGTTATTTGGTGGACTTTATGTTGACAATGAAAAACTTAATGTTCCAGTGCACATCACTTTGGGCCCTGTTGTGAACAGCTAATGTGGTAAATTGACAGAAATCTGTTTATAAATGGAGAGTGAATACCATTTAAGGAGAGTATATAACTTGTATTGTGAAATTCTTATCAGTGCTTTCAGCTGTTTCCATGATGTGTTTGATCTCAGGAAAGATATTCACCTATTCCATGTATATCGTTAGTTAGCATTTTGATCTTAAACATAGAGTCTAAATATACAGTTCATTGTGTTTTATTTATAGATATTTGTGTAAAAAAACAAAACAATTATCTAAATTATAGAGTATAGGAAAGTTCAAATTTCTATGGTATAAATGGTTTGTGGTTTTACCAAATACTAAAATGTAAAAATGTCATTTTCATGACATGGAAAATTGTTTTCTCATTCAATCTTTTTTATATTTCATTTGAATAATTGACACTGTTGCAATAGATAAAAATAAAATCTTAATGTTAGGAAACGTTTTGGTAAACTACACAGGTCTGAAAGAATTTTTCAGAGAAGATAGGTGTAAATACTGGAAGGAATTTACACAGGTGTTCTTTATACTTGTGTAATCATGAAAAGTCCATGGGTTCTATAAATATCAAATACTGAACAAATAACAGTTGAAATATTCACTTATTTTACAACAAAGTTAAATAAAGACTACACTCATTATGACATCTTGTTAGAAAACTTGGTCTAATATTTCAATAAAATCAATGAGCAGATGATTTTCTGGCAACTTCAAACAGCTGTCATTTTCTCAGATAATTCTTTAACTACCTGGTAATACATGTGTCAGGCATACAGGTTTTTGTCCTCGATAAGGGGAGATAATAGTATTAAGTTCATCATTCTGATACATAAATTACAAAAGTAGGTAGTTTTGCATTTAGCTTGAATGCTTTGACAAATTTTGAAATTCTCTTATTTTGCCATTGGAGAGGAAGGAAATATTGATGTGGAGTTTATTTTGCTAGTGTGTTTCCATTTTTTTTTACAGTTTAAGATATTTTCAGTCTAGCATTTGGTATGTCTATTTTCAGATTACAGAGAGAATATAATGCCCGAATCACCGGACCCTAAATCAGCTTTACAATCACCGCTAGCATCTAGTATGGCCGGGGGAATCTCTGCCCGAGACGTGCCACGCCCTCACTCAAGGGGTAGTACCCTTTCTGGTAAGTTACCTTACAGGCAGTGTAAACAAGCACTGTACTGTTTCTCTTAAAGATAAACTGCTCTTACAGAATTATCATCATGAAAAATGCCCTCTAAGAGAAATGGCCCATTGAGATATCATTTAGAATGCACTTAGAAAAATATGTAACCGTACACTACTGTCACTGAGATATCATCAATTAGGTTACCCTCACTGAGATATCTTTATATAGCCTAACCTCAAAGAGATCACCTCACACTGCCCTCACTGAGAAATCATCAATTAGGTTACCCTCACAGAGGTATCATTATATAGCCTAGCCTCACAGAGATCACCTCACACTGCCCTCACAGAGATCACCTCACACTGCCCTCACAGAGGTATCATTATATAGCCTAGCTTCACAGAGATCACTTCACACTACCCTCACAGAGATATCATTATATAGCCTAGCCTCACAGAGATCACCTCACACTGCCCTCACAGAGGTATCATTATATAGCCTAGCCTCAAAGAGATCACCTCACACTGCCTTAACCTCACAGAGATCACCTCACACTACCCTCACAGAGATATCATTATAAAGCCTAGCTTCACAGAGATCACCTCACACTACCCTCACAGAGGTATCATTATATAGCCTAGCCTCACAGAGATCACCTCACACTACCCTCACAGAGATCACCTCACACTGCCTTAACCTCATAGAGATCACCTCACACTGCCCTCACAGAGGTATCATTATATAAACTAGCCTCACAGAGATCACCTCACACTGCCTTAACCTCACAGAGATCACCTCACACTGCCCTCACAGAGGTATCATTATATAGCCTAGCCTCACAGAGATCACCTCACACTGCCTTAACCTCACAGAGATCACCTCACACTGCCCTCACAGAAATATCATTAAATAGCCTAGCCTCACAGAGATCACCTCTCACTGCCCTCACTGAGATATCATTATACTCTACCAGTTCAGATATCATTTCATTGCCTACCCTCATAAACATATCATTATACACTGTCCCCCTGAGATATTACACTGACTGCCCTGATTGAGATCATATAGGCTGTCTCCACATAGAGATATCTTCACAGTCACCCATATATCATCATACAGAAGGAATGCCCTGACAGAATGTAACCTCACATAAAACTATAGAGAAGTCAGCCTGTTTTTTCACACTGACATTTTTAGCATTGAATCCTGAAGCCATTAAATCTATTGTATGATTCTGAACCAGTATTGATATAATTCAGGCAATGAACAAGTTGTTAAATTGTCAAATCCATTTCAAATTAAGATTCTACAATTTAACACGGAGACCTCCCCTAGTAAACACAATGTTCTTCTCCATTTATACCCGAATGTCGACCCACGTATCATTGTATACCGAGAATATCAGATCATTTTGTTTCGTCATGTTACTGACTAGGATCAGAAATGATTTGTTTGGTGTTAAACCCAAGTATTATATTTATCAGTACAAGTTACAGTAACAAATTAACATCCGAACATCAGTGGAATAATGCTTCATTTTGGAGGTCATTGTTTCTTTTAAAGATGCCTTAATGATCAGTTGGTACAAAATTAGCTGGCAATTTTATTCTGAGGTTCTCATATAATCTTATAGATTTTGAACTAAAGACTGTCATACATTATCAGAACTAATCTCCATTGTTTGCCAAAAGAATCATTTTGCTGACTGTTTTTGTGAACACGCCATGTAAAATTAATCAACACAGCAAAATTTTTCTGATGTTTGAAAATAATTGGATGAAAAAAAAAAGAAGTATATGGGTTGACAATTATTGATTGTGCTGTGAGATCCAATATTACATTTTGCCTCTAAAATTGATGAAATTAAGAAGATCCAATTCAATAATGGCATCGATGGCCGCAGACTATAGTCCTGGCGTTAGGCATGCTGGTACCATAAGCCTAAAGGCGACCATTGTAGAACAGATGAGGGCTTTCGTTCCCATATGTTGACATGTGGGTATCTTATTATTCTGTATTAAAATACGTCCTGGCTTCAATACTCCATATGTGATCATGAAATTTCCTTAGCAAGTAAAATTCGGATGATTCTGTTTTAAACAAATGATTCATATCATATAGGATAGATAATGAATTTTACACAAATTGTCAAGCTGATATTTAATGTATAGTTAGTGGTAAAATTATGTTTGAACTATAACTAGATAACATATCACTAATTAGCCAGTGTGGGAGATCTACCACAAAGCTGCTGATACCACACAATCACAAGGCATTTAGATTTTCTGCAGGGTATTGTTTTACCAAGTCTTCCTACAGGTCATTGACTCTTTACTTTGTCTTAATTGGTTTCAATGTCCGATTTTTAGAAGTTACTCCATGGTGCTAAATTTTCCTGTTTCTTTCAGTTGTCATGTTACTGTAGGAAGTAAAGATGTATAGTTCTGTTGAAAATTACAAAATTTCAGGGCTAGTGCACCTCCCCGTCTAAATTTTGACTTTTCTTTTATTCACTTTGGATTTTCTTCAGGCACCTCAAAAAGTTTCAAAATTCAGGCACTTAACATCACTGATGAGTCCATGGCAGGACGAAACAGCTGTTTGATACAGTCTAATTCATGGTTTGGTTCTTTCGTTTCTATCTCTAAATTTTTATTAAAAAGGGGTATGCACTTGTGTGTCTGTAGCAAAATCTGCACTAGGTTTTATCCTTGCTACATAGATATAACAACAATACCGTGTTACTACTTCTGGTAGTTTTGATACAATTATATGGACAGCGTTATCATTTAAATATCTATGTTATTCTATCATCAACAGTAAATGGAACACACTCGCCTCTGAGTGGTTTAAATGGTCGGACACCGTCACCAAACCTAATGGTGAGTTCGTCGGTCAGCCAACAACTTCCTCCAGCCTGTGGAGCACGACAACTCAGCAAGTTAAAGCGCTTTCTCACTACACTCCAACAATTTGGCTCCGATATTTCACCAGAAATTGGAGAGCGAGTCCGCACCCTGGTACTCGGACTTGTGGTGAGTGTACTCAGTTTTGTTTATTAATAGAGACATAGGTAATGTAGAAGTATTGTTTTTAAAATTCAAAGTAGAATGGATTTTTATCAGACGTTATGAGATGCAAAATATATTTTAAATTAACGACAAAAAACAAAGAAAAAGGCAATGAAAGTATCTTGATTATTAACTGAGAGTGTCACTGGTACCTATAGTCTTATTTCTGATAATTAAAAGTTTTCGAGAGAAAAACAAAAAAACAAAAAATAGATTCATAAAATAAGAAGAAAATAAAAATACTGTCGTTTTCGTTTTGAATATTTTGGTTGGTGCATTATAAACATCTGAACAAAGCTTTCAGAAAATCATTTACTTCAGCAAGGGAATTTTCAAGTGAATTATCATTTCCAAAATAAATTGGTTTTTATAGGTTATTGACATGAGAATGTCACAAAGCTCAAATTCATTTAGCCCCAGGTGGTCTCCTGGCCTTGGTAAACCAGAAACATTCCACCTCGCTCGACAAAGGGTTTACCCATGAGATGGTTCACAAATTCACTAAAAAAACCAAGTTGGAAAATGTTCAAGTTGAAATGGCTCTAATTCATTTAAAGTCAAATTTGTTTGCTACAGTAATGAAATTTTGTTTACATAATTGGTTATGTTTCTTGACAGGTAGTAAAGGCAACACTTATACAATCTTCAGGATCACAATAATTCCATCACCTTGTCGCTCTCTTTTAGATGCTTGTAATTGATGAAAGTGTCAAACTTATTCAGTTGACAGATGGGGATACATTTCTTAACAAATATAGTTAGGAATTACTGGGCTTTTTTTTATAGATGTGCGCTGAATATCTCCAATTTTAGCTACAGATGACAGAAATTGAACATCAAAGTTAATTTGGAAGTGAAAAATGTCTAATGTTGTCCTGTTCCTTACTTTACAGTTGAATAAATTGGAAATTTCAATAAAAAAGATTGAAAAATGAAAAGAAAAATTCTCGTGGTAGTTAACTTTATATCATTGATTGATCTATTTTTGCAGAATTCTCACCTTTCCATTGAAGAGTTCCATGCTAAGCTACAGGAAGCAACCAATTTTCCTCTGCGACCATTTGTGATACCATTTCTGAAGGTAAAATTGTCAAAATGATTTTCACCTTTGGTACAATAATGATGTATGATAAAATTTGAAAACTTTTAATTAACTCGAGTGTTGAATAAAATGAAATATGAAATAAAGTGAAGTTAATTACCTTGAAAACATTTTTAGAGTATTTTCTAGAATCTTTATTTCTGTCTGATTAGTCCTTAGGTAGGAAAAGTCTATCCATTTGAGCTTCTGTCCTTTCCGAAGCTTTGAAGGTTTACAACTCCTGAATCAAATGGATATACCGAAAAGTGGGTTAGCACACGGATCAATATTTTTTGTCATATTCACTACCTTTGTGTTTACAGGCTAATCTGCCGCTCCTCCAGAGAGAACTGTTGCATTGTGCTCGTATGGCCAAGCAGACACCGCAGCAGTTCCTGAACCAGAATGAACACATTCTGTTTGATGCTTCGTCATCACCTATCGACTCACATGACATCCCAACAGATATTAACGAAAATGGAAAACGCAGATCCCCCGACAGGTAAACATCAAAATCATTTTTCATATACTTGAGATCAATATTACCACATTCAAGAATTTGTGAAGAAAGATTCTTCTATTTAGGTAAGAAGTAAATGTGATACTCGGCTCTTATACCGAAATATTTCTTCAAACTATTAGTTATGCTTCCTGAAGGGAGAGCATATAGTTGCTGCTTTGTCTGTCCGTCCATTTGTTGGTCCATCAAATTTTTGTCCAGAAACTATAAGAGGTATCAACATAAAATTTCATAGGTAGATAGATCTCAACAAAGAAAAGTGCAGTGCACAAGAACCATCTCTCTCTTTTGTATAATATAGGAATTATTCCCCTATGTTATTTTTCATACTTTAATTTTGTCCCATTTTTGGAGCATAACCCGTCTCTGTTGGCCTTTTTTGCATATTAAGTGCAGTTTCGCTTTGGAACCTGCATGTTTTCTTGCTGCAGTTCCTAAATGTTTGCCTTTGGTAATTAGATTTGTCAAAGAACAACATTGTATATTTAGAGAACTGATCATCTAACAAATTTATTTTTGCCTTTCATAGTCGATCCAAGGACAACGGGGTCGGACCAACACACTCCGAACCAGAGCATCCAGCCAAGCGCCATCATTCCTTGAGCCCGAGGGTCAGCCCGAACGGTGTTCTTAATCTCACAGCAGGACCAATCCGTTTAGAGGATATCAGTCTATCACGGGAACTCCGAGAACGGGAGAGAGTGGAACGTGAACGGTCAGACAGAGAACATGGTGATAGAGACCGGGAACCCAACTTTTCAGCACCATTCAACAACAATAGTAAGTCATGGGCAAAGGGACATAACTGCTAGTAGTAGCTTTTGGGTTATGTGGAAAAAAATGAACATTATTTTGTTTCAGTTTAAAAGGGTGGGTATACAAACAATAACTAACACAGGTAAAGGGACATAATTACAGGTCATTTACTATTGATTTTTTTACTTTTTATTTTTGTTTTCCTACTTGTAAAGAAAAAAGCAAGAGACCAAGATAAAAATAACACTGGAATCCCTTGTGATTAAAGAATTTACTGAACAAAGGGAGACAACTTGTAAATCTGTTTGGGTGACATAATTATTGATTTTATTTTCATGTGTACCAAATAGGTAATAAAAATATCACAAGTCATGGTATTTCTTCAGTAACCTGAGAGAAAACAAACTACATGTGACTGATATTCAAGGGAAGGATAATTACAGGACAATGAAATAGTAACTGGGATTTCTTGGTAATTTTCAAGTGCAATGAATAGGGTATTATTCTGACAAAAAACATGAATGAGATGTTAACAATATGAAAACACAAATTTATTAATTGGATTTTCAGACTTCAATCGGTCAGATTCATTTGAACCACTTGAGCGACTGGATGATGATTGGAGACATGTAGAAACGGTGAGAATCTTTTTCACAAGAAAAAATCAGCAAAACAGGTTAATAGGTTGATTGGAACTAAAAGATTTGTTGACTTTCTGGAACTTCGATCTATTCAGCCTTATTTTTTATGAACTTATGTTATGAATTCTTCTTTTTGATGCTGTAATAAAATCTGTATTTTGTGCTTGATAAATAGCTTTCTCATCACCATTTAAACTTTTTAAACAAGTTTATTATAGACACAATATACAGTATGTTTTAAATTTCTCTTCAGATGCTCAATTGTATAATTGGCATGGTGGACAAGACTAAGAGAGCCTTGGCTGTGCTACAGGAGCGAAGTCTACGAGACCGTGAAGAACTCTCGCTGTGGATGCGTCGTCATGCTGAGGGTCTTGACCAGGATATGAAGAAACGCTCTAACGACATGATGGCTCATACTCTACGCCACACAGAGGACCGTGTCTCAGATGTGAGGCGCAGGGCTGGTGAGTTACCTCCCTTATATAGAGTTTTATGTGTTATTAGTGAGGAACTCTATTGATCCATTATGGACTCACCCTAGGAGACTACCACAGAGTTTGACATTATAAGTGTTGGATCACTCATTCAATATAATGTATTCCTAAAGTAATATTTCATCAAACTTCTTTGCTGAATGTGCAAAAATTTGGGTAACCTTAATTCGCCATTGTTTTTTTTTAATCTATGAAAACTCCTATTCAAATACCGTTATCCTTTTATAAGATAGAATGCTAATCCCCCCCCCCAATTCCTTATTTTTGTTTATATTTATTCCCATGATGTGTTTGTATGATACAGAAGAAGCTGTTAACGAGGTGAAGAGACAAGCTATGTTGGAGCTACAGAAAGCAGTGGCTGCCGCTGAGCAGAAATCCCGAGAGATGGTGACAGCTGAACGGCTTAAGATGGACCAGGCTGTGAGTGAGGCTCGTAAACAAGCCCACAGCGAGACTCTGGCCAACCTTAATCATCAAGAAGACTCCAGTGAGGTAAAACTGAAATACTCTACTTAACAATATATGTTAACACACACAGTTTCTCAAGGGGAGATAAATCTAACCTCAAAAGGTTTAAAGAACAAAAAAAGTAGAGCCATGATGATCTAGAAATGAAATGGATTGTAGGACGAATTTGAAATTTGTCCCCATGTGTAGGTGTAAAGTTGAAACAATTGTATTAGTAGCAGTGGGATCCATATGACTTTATTGTATGTAGCTAATACTCACCATTTGGTGATCAGTGAAACAGTTAATGACAGCTTCATAAAACGGAATTATTGTTTTCCTTTCTGGGCAGCTGTGTTACAATGAAAACCTGTCTGAACTGATAAGGTATGGATCAGTTTCTAATAACAAGTTTGTTTGTCATGTCACAGAGTTGCTGGAATTGTGGCAGGAAGGCCAGTGAGACATGTAGTGGCTGTAACATTGCACGCTACTGTGGCTCATTTTGTCAACATAAGGACTGGGAGAACCACCATCATGTCTGTGGAAAGTCGCAGGTATCAGACGTTCGTTCCGACTCATCCTCCCGTGCTCATCGACCACAGGGTCCCGGACTACAGTCAGACTCCAATCCACCTGCAACCACCCAAGCTTCAAGCCCAGCCCACTCTACAACTTCCCCGACGCACTCCTCAGGTGCCTCGCGCTCTAGCACACCGGCTGAAACCAAACCAGTCGATGCTACACATTAAGGAAGTGGTATAGGGATTTGGAGTTATGTCCCTTGGTAGATTCCAAAGTTATCTACCCTTGGCAGTAAAACTTTTGGACCAATAACATTACTGACAATTGATTTTATCACCATGACATTGATGTTTTCATCGATTTTATTCAAAACTTATGGCAGGAACCATAACTTCAGGTACTTTACAAGAAAGTGGTCATATCCAGGAGACTACTGTTTGAACTTTTTTAAAAAAAAATGGCAGAGACATTTCATTAGCAAATACATTCATGATATCAATAGGAAAGATATATAGAGACAGCAGCACTGTTCTGACGTGCAATATCTTCACCCAAGTATGTTGGTATGAAACACATATATCTGGATTGTAGATGTATCTATGATAACCCTGAATGACTTGAAATACTACCAAGCAGATAGCTGGACTAAAAGGTATCTATAGACCTGCTGTAGACCATCGACTTCAAAATTTTGCACAAACATTCAAAAGATAAGATTGATATTGTGCATATTTATTAGTCATCTAGTTGGTATTTCTTGAGTGACTTTGTGTTGGATTGCCTACCGACACAAAAAATAAATCAGATCAGCATGCATTGGAAAATACATGTGATGGTGGATGGACCTATATAACATTACGTGTGTAACAAAGATGTGATATTGTGTATGGTGGTGTATTGTGTGTTTACACTGGAGACAGTCTTAAATATATTTGTGTGTGTTGATTGTCAACTTGATTCACTGTTGATGTGGATCTTGTTTCCAGTAGTCGACCATTTAAACAGGGTATCAAATTGTATTATATTGTGAAGCAGTGTTATGGATGGTTATAGACCTGTCTAGAGGTCCATGTATTGTTTCTTGCAAAATTACTCGCACTGACACATTTAACTTTTGGTTAAATGTTTACACTGAGGAAAAAAATTCCTGTTCCCAAAAATCTAGTTTTATTTGAAATTTTACGTAGCTGATGATATTTCTTCTCTCTCTTTTCCCCATTTTTCTGTTTGGACTTATAAGAAATTTTCTTGGTGTCTCGAATCCAAAACAATAAATATCCAGATCACAGTGGCACTTTGATAGCGATAAGTGTGCACCGGCAGCTAAGTTAGTAGCGCATGTATTTCACAAAGCTCTCCTTTTATGAACCTGCCTGGATAAAGCTTTGTACATAAACTAGATAGGGAATTGCAGGGCATTTCCATTGTCTGGTTACTGATTGGTATATGTACTTTGTATATTTCCATTAAAATTATTCTGGTAGACAAGAAATTTCGTTATAACATGACACCTGTTTCTTAAGTATTCACAGGAAGTAAGGTTTCTTTTATAAATATAGGTCAACGTATGCTCATTGTATAACGTAAACACAACTGATTCTTCAGGTTCAAACACAAATTTTATTTGCCTGAATTTTACAGGAGACAATTTTACTTTCAAAGTGATTGTAATAGATTATCTCCCTTGAATAAAATATTTGTTGGCAAGGGATCAATGTGATAGAATATCTCCCTTGAGTATAATATTTTTGGGGCAAGGGATCGATATTGCAATAAGCCTATGACTTTAAATTTAAATTAAGATTATACAGATATCCTTTTGCTTAACACAAACTACATCATATGATGTGTCAAGCATTTATATTTCTCTGGATTATATGCTGCAAGCAGATTTATCATTTACTAGATATCTTAAAAATAATTTTCATTTTTTTTCTACTAGAGTCAGAACGGCCTAGTGTCTCCTCTCTTTGTGCAATATGTAGTCGTGTCTCTTCTCAGTGTCCAATGTGTAGATCAGTGCTCATATATTGAATAGTAAACGTTTCTTTAAAAAAATCTTTCAGAACTCTGAAATAAATACTCATGATGAAAAATTACAGTTGCTTTTGTGTTGTTGCTACCAAGCCATGATATCATGAAATGACAAGAAAAACTTCCATATTACCGAAATTTGATCTCAACTCAAAATCAATGACACAAAGAGCAAAATCTACACTTTATTTTGGCCAGGGTAAGGAAAGTGTCTTTTACTTCTGACCATGTTTTTTTTTATCCTGCAATATTGATTGAAAACCAGACTATTGAAACTGATGATGTATGCTAAAATAATTGCTCTGAAAAGTGATTTTATGAATTTTCCTAAGATTACATTACAACATATAAAATCACTTATTCAACAGTTATTTATATTGTTTAAATTAATGTTCCAGTCGATTAAGAAAGTAATTCAATTAAATTTAGGGACGTGTTAAAATACAGCTGTTTTCTGCCACTGCCGAATACAGCAGACATATACCTTGGTATGTGGCAGGTGTATTCCAACAATGGCAGTGAAAGTTGCAGGATAAAATAATATATACATATATGGAGAAGGCATGAATGTACAAACATCAAACTACCAATACTGTACTCGAGATTCTCTCTACTGCGTGCACGGAGTCTTTGAAATGGCGGATATCCCCATCCTACAATCTATATACACCTATAGTTCTTGGGGACCATGAGAAATCAAATTGTGTCAAGGAAGAATGACCGTCTGTGGACTTGTAGCTGGAATTATACTGACATAAAATATACTTAGTGTGAAGCTACTTTATCATAAACAAAAAAGGAAAATAAAACACACTTAAAGTAAGACTTTAGATGAAATTGGGAGGCATCCATAAAGCTTCTAAACTAGAGATGACATCTTTGGATTAAAATATACGAAAATAGTATCTGCAGACCTAGTTCAGATTCTAACTCCACTACCACATGCTAAGATAAATAATAATATGCGACAAAGCAACAAGGTCTGACCTTGACACTGGGCCCTTCTACCAATGGTTTATATGATTTAACAGTTTGATTGGATGATCCATATCTTATGTAGGAAGAGAAATATAGGAAGCCCGATTGATTCAGGACCAGACCTTACTTTGCAATTTAGTCCCTAGGTCATAATTTCAAAATTTTTATGATCCTGACTGTAGAACTATTTGCCTGATTTGGAGAGGAAATACAATCATGTATTGGCAACAAGGGACTATTCTGATACCCTGCAGAGCATCACCCTTGCTAATTAGAATTAATAAAACACAACAAACATAGCAACTTACACATATCATTACTATTTATTCATCAATGTTTAAGTCAATAAATATTTATATACACATCAATCTGTCACTTAAACTTTCTCTGCATTTTTTCTTGGAAAAAGGAATTCATACAATATAATCTCTAATTTAACAAAAAAAAAAATTTTTTTTCCATCAGCTTTGCATTAACATTTTTACTCTTCATAATTTCAATCCTGTGACTATATTGTCCCAATATTCGGTCCCTAATTTCATCCTATCTTATTTTTCTTTAATTTATAAGATAAATCTGATCTTTCCTTATTCTTAATATCAATCATTTTCACAAGATGTGAAAAAATCAAATCAGCTTACACAACAATAACAAGAGGTCAAATGTACCTGCATCGCTGAAATGGTATTCACTGTTCATTAAAATCATAATCAATGTACACCATTAATACATTAACATGTACACCATTGACATCCACACTGGACACATCTAATCAATTTTAACCAATTTCCACATCAAACTTCAACTTCTACTTTTTTTTCTCTCTCGAAATTTGTCGATCTTTGACCTAGAGATACATTATCACCAGATATCATGCTACTCACACCTTTGGTATACCAGAAGAAATCTTTTACAGGTTTTCACAAATTTGGCCCCTTTCACCTTGAATATGGGTCACATTTGTCACTTCTTTTCACAAACTTCCTCAAGATTCATACAAAGAACCTATAAGCTAAATATCTGGCTTCTGAGCCTTTAGTTAATCTGAAGTTGTTTTAAGGTTTCAACAAATTCCACCCCTGAGACCTAGAAGGGTCAAGGTCATTTTTTTTTTTTTTTTTTGCAGACTTTGTTGGGATTCCTCCCAGCAACCCACCAGCTAAATATCACGACAGTTGACCTGCTGCTTATTGAGAAGTTGTTTAAGTGGAAAAGTTAATGACAAACAGACAACAGACTGACATCAGATGCCGCACCAAGGTGTAAACACACTAGGGTCTTTAATTAGACTACAATCAATATTTCATTCAAAGATTGAATATTCAATCAACGTTTAAAGTCGTGATTTGTGTAACTTATTATACATTTCATTTACAATCCCAACACTTAAATGATTTAAAGAAAATACATCACAGTGTCAAATTGGAAACATTTTCTGCTTCATGCGCACAACAAATATACAGACATGATTGTTCATTTAACCACAAACTGTTCGACAGTTCAGTGTATTTCTACTCAATCTAATGCACTTTGGTGCTGTTCTAATACAACATCTAAATTTCTACATGAAATTATTCAGCAAATCTCAATAACTATTCATTATATCCAAAATTAGTTTGATTTCAGGAACAAAAATTTGAACAAACATGTTGAAGAGAGAATGTTCAATACCAATGTTCAATGTAATCATCCACACACTTCGTCACCTATGATCCTTGCACACTTTTTTTAAGAGTTCTTCGATTCATTGACACCTGGTGATTCTTTGTACTGAATGTGACTGTGCTTTCCACACAGTTAAGCAATTTCTTTCCCCACAAAAGTGGTGTCCTTTTCATCAAAGCACATGTACCACTTATCGTTCTTTATTTTCCTTCATTTCTTTCTCTTTTTCAGTTTCTTTCTGTCTTTCCATTTCTTTCTTTTTATCCATTTCTTTAAGTATTTTTGGATCAATCAATTTGTATTCCAACAATGTTCTAAACGCTTCCATCATTGCCTTAAACAAATCAAAAACATTAAATATTACACAGTCAGTGACAAATGATCAAGATATAATGTCATATTTTACACTGCCCAAGATATATGTAACATTTTACCAATAATGTTTCATTTTACACTGTCCAAGATATATTTAAAATTTTACCAATAATATTACATTTTACACTAACCAAGATATATTTAACATTTTTACCAATAATGTTACATTTTACACTGCCCAAGATATATTTAACATTTTACCAATAATGTTACATTTTACACTGCCCAAGATATATTTGACATTTTACCAATATTGTTACATTTTACACTGCCCAAGATATATCTAACATTTTACACTGCCCAAGATATATTTAATATTTTTACCATTGTTGGTGAAGTTTGATTCATGTATCGAATTTCATCAAAAATTGTATCACTACATATTAAAATTAAACAAGTGAAATATAAAAAATATGAGAAATGCCAGAGGGATCTTGGTTCCCACCACCGTTTGATCTTTATTTGTTCTTTGAATGTTGGATCTTTTCTCTTCTGTGTTTTTGCTCTTAACGATAAGACATTCCATTTTCCTGTGCAAAAATAGTGATAATAATCTTTAACTGCCAAATCAAAGATGGTCACGTGGAAGCCATTTTGTTTTTCTTATCAATCCCAAAATCAAACGAGTACAACTAGGGGCCAAGGGGAAATTAAGTTTTAAGTTCTTCTTAAAAAATAGCAATAAGAAATTCAAAGACGGTCCCCTTTGTTTTACTGATTTTGCCAGAAATTAAATGAGCACAAATAAGGATCAATGGGAACCTTCATAATATATTTGAGAAAGATCTATGAAGTTGTTCTTAAGAAATAGCGATAACAAACTTTCAAATTCAAAAATCATGATGGCTGCCTATCAGCCACTTTGCCTTTTCTGATCAGTCCCAAAATCAAAGGGGCACAACTAGGGTCAAAGGAAACCAACATATTAAATTTGAGCAAGATCCATTGAACACTTTTTAAGAAATAAGGATAACAAACGTTACTAGGGGAAATCAAAGATAGCCATCTGTCAGCTGTTTTATTTCTCTGATCGATCCCAAAATCACTCAGGCACATCAAAGCACAAAGAGGTACCTATATAGGAAATTTGAGAGAGATCCGTTGAGTACTTCTCAAGAAATTGCAATAACAAATGTTCAAAGTCAAAATCATAGATGGCCGCCTGTTGGCCATTTTGTTTTTCTTATCAGTCCCAAAATCAAACAAGCACAACTGGGGACCAAGGGAAACCTGCATATGAAATTTGAAAGAGATCTATCCAGCACTTCTCAAAAAATAGTGGAGACAAACTTCATTGTAAAATTCAAAATTGGCCACCTGTTGGCCATATTGTGATTCTCATCACACCAAAAAATCAAACAGGCACAACAACGTAAATATGAAATTTGAAAAAGATCTATTCTGTACTTCTCAAGAAATAGCGATAACAAAAATTGTTCACAGAAGACAGACCACTGACATATGGGGGATTAGGAAAGTCCACCATCTGGTGATAGTGAGCTAAAAATTGGTCAACCTACTATTAAATTGAGTCCATAACTGCTAGAGACTTGGATAGCAAAAAAAAATTTCTGAAGACTCCCTTTACAGAAATGTACAATTAAGATCATCCATATACATTGTATCTCATTCATACTGTACCAAGTTCAGCCTTTCAACACAAAATCTTGGAGTTAAATTAGAATGACAGAATTATCGGTCAATGATAACGCATTTCCATTGTGATATGGGTGGGCTTGTTAACAGGCAGTGACAGAAATATACTAATAAATGTCACCTGTCTAGTGAATCTTTCCTTATCCCATTCTTATAACCTTTATGTATTCCCTTGTATAGAATCACTTTTGCCTGGTTAAATATAATTAGTTTTCAAAATTTAGCAGGGTTGGTGCATGCATATATTTTGGGGAATGTTATACTATTAAGTATGGATTTAAATGGATAATATATCATTATCACTTAATTGTTCTATGTTTGACAGGAAATTCCAAAACTGTGCATTTCAAGCTTTTTACATCTTCAGGTGCTTTTTTTTTTTTTTTTTAAATTTTTAAAAATAACTGCAATCAACCTGAACAATTTCAACCTGGTTATGCAAAAGTGACCTAAGTCAGCTCCTGTCATGACTAACCTCTCGCTCATCTATAGATGTGTTAGGTCCTGATAACCCCCGTGCTTTCATGAGGTATTTCTTTCCTTTTTCTTCATCACCCAGTTTCATATAGGTTTTCCCCAGGTACACATGGTTCCAGATGTAGAAGTCAGGATCAACTGTGAATTAAATGAATAAACATCAAAAATGATTTACAACCTCTTTGCTACATACCATATCTATCCTTTAATATGCGGGAGGAAATTAAAAACATCACAGTTTGAGAAATTTGAATGCATACAGTTGAAATTATTTGAAATATAAATTTCAATCTATAAATAAATGAAAACACTGATTTTTTAACAATGAACCTTTCATATGTATGCTATATGTGTGTCTTCAAACAAGCTGTAGTTCGGTGAAAAAACAAAATTCCAATTTACCTTCTTCTGCCATCTCAAAATACTTCAACGCCTGTAAAATAACAGATTTCAATTCATTATATCAAATATTTCTTTTTCTTGTTGTTTTTATTATCATTATTTTCAAAATGTGTTTTTCTAGAAATAACTGCAGTTGCCAACATATTACAATTTTGTATCTTTGACCCCAGCATCAGTATTGGCTAATTATTGAGAAATAAAAAAACATTTGTTAGCAATTCTTCTGGACAATAAAGAATATGAGTGGGCTTATTACCAGACAGAGTTGTTGCTGGATAAGAAACATTAAGAATATCATATTTCAGTAAATCCACCATTGTTTTCAATCAGAGAAAAAAAAATACCAGAAGTGTATATATATATTATAAAAATTATTTATAAACAATAGCGTACTGGAACCACAGACTAGCCCAAAGTTTCATATTCATTTTCCTTTAGAGGAAGATTATCTCAGATTTAAGATTTCTCATCAGAAAGCTTTACTAAATCATATCTCCATTAAGGAACTCTTTAGAAATGAATGGGATTATATAGACAAGTCAATGGGGCAACTCTAAACACAATCTCATCAAGAACAGATGTTGATAAAAAAACCTACAAATCAAGAATAACATCCAATATCTACCTACTCATTGGTGCAGTCATATCTAGCATACATGTATACAATTTTAGTAGGAAAATTTTGTAAAACAATAAATGAAGATTTATAACAGATGATCCCTGATTCACAAAGAATTACAGAAACAATTAAGTGACAAATATTCAATTAAGTGATTCCTTCAGTTTAGTTAGGGACTTAATCTTCACCATCTCACTGCACTAAGGTATAAACTTAAAGATTTTAATTTGCTTCTGTTAGATATGTTTTCCATTGACACACAAATTCATTTGCCTCCTATATCTTAAATTCACAATTTGATTCAAAGAAGGGAAATAACTCCTCCACAATCACAATAACCATTTTTAAGGAAAAAATGGTGAAACTGGTTTACGGTTAATAAAAATTCCATATCAACTTACTCTGAAGCTGTTGTAAATGATTTCCTACCTTAATTTAATTTTGCAGAATTTATATCATCTAAAGAGGATCTTATTTGAGTATCAATGGAATTTGTCAAATTATTGAATGATACACAAATGTAAGATTCTATTCATTATATATCTCATATTTCTGAAAAATAAGTGAAAATTCTTCAATAAATTTGCGGATAAGAAAGGCTTATTTTGACTTGGAAGGTATGTTGATGTCACGAAAGTGTTATTACATGTCTTTTACATGATATTAATGATATGGCCTTATGGCATATCATAAAAGGCCACTTATGTGATTAATCTTATTGATCTTTTGAAAAAAATATTTTCAGGAACCTAAGGTTTATTGTATTACTTCTGTGACTTTCTAGAAACTGTCAATTTATTCCTCCAAAATTCATGAAAATTCATGGAAATGATATTTAGAGTACAGTTTTTCAAAAACTAGATCCAGATCTTGATGCCTGATAGCTTGTCAGGATCTTTATCAATATCAGTATTCATTCAGTTAACTTTTAATTGAAGTTTGGTTTTTGATTACCTCTTCAAAGGTAGATGAAGGTGGTGTTGAAAATATAGCACTAGCTATTTTCTTGGTGTACCAGGACATGTCAGCAAACAGGTAGCACCTAAAAAGACAGACCCAACATCAGTAAAGTAACATTAACAATGAGATTTATAACTGAGTATCAATGTTGACTGGAAGTTCTTATACAACCCTTAGGATAGTTGATGCCAAAATACCACTTGTGGTCAAGGACAGTGGTAACATGCTTTCTTTTCACCTAGATTCCTAATGGGATGGGAAAAGGTAAGGGGTCACCTGCCCTACCATATAGAATATTTCCCTAAACAATCTGATTTCCTCCCACTGTCAGACCCTTTACCAATAAGCAGAAGCCATCAGTATGTTTTGCATTTATTGTCCAGGGTAAGAGAAATATATATATCCTGATACAAAGATAGTGTCATAAATAAGACACTGGAGAGTTATCTTACCAGTCACCTAAAGAATAAGACACTATAGTTAGCTTACCAGTGGCCTAGGGAATAAGACACTGGCCATCTTACCAGTGGCCATGGGAATAAGACACTGGCCATCTAACCAGTGGCCTTGGGAATAAGACACTAGAGAGTTAACTTACCAGTGGCCTAGGGAATAAGACACTAGAGAGTTAACTTACCAGTGGCCTTGGGAATAAGACACTGGCCATCTTACCAGTGGCCTTGGGAATAAGACACTAGAGAGTTAACTTACCAGTGGCCTTGGGAATAAGACAATAGAGAGTTATCTTACCAGTGGTCTGGGGAATGAGACAGTAGAGAGTTATCTTACCAGTGGTCTGGGGAATGAGACAGTAGAGAGTTATCTTACCAGTGGCCTTGGGAGAGTTATCTTAATAGTGGTCTAGGGAATGAGACAGTAGAGAGTTATCTTACTAGTGGTCTTGGGGATGAGACAGTAGAGAGTTATCTTACCAGTGGTCTTGGGGATGAGACAGTAGACAGTTATCTTACCAGTGGTCTGGGGAATGAGACAATAGAGAGTTATCTTAATAGTGGTCTTGGGGATGAGACAGTAATCTTACCAGTGGTCTAGGGAATGAGACACTAGAGAGTTATCTTACCAGTGGTCTGGGGAATGAGAAAGTAGAGAGTTATCTTACCAGTGGTCTGGGGGATGAGACAGTAGACAGTTATCTTACCAGTGGACTAGGGAAGGAGACAATAGAGAGTTATCTTACCAGTGGTCTGGGGAATGAGACAATAGAGAGTTATCTTAATAGTGGTCTAGGGAATGAGACAGTAGAGAGTTATCTTACTAGTGGTCTTGGGGATGAGACAGTAGACAGTTATCTTACCAGTGGTCTGGGGAATGAGACAATAGAGAGTTATCTTAATAGTGGTCTTGGGGATGAGACAGTAGACAGTTATCTTACCAGTGGTCTAGGGAATGAGACAGTAGACAGTTATCTTACCAGTGGTCTAGGGAATGAGACAATAGAGAGTTATCTTACCAGTGGTCTGGGGAATGAGAAAGTAGAGAGTTATCTTACCAGTGGTCTGGGGGATGAGACAGTAGACAGTTATCTTACCAGTGGTCTAGGGAATGAAACAGTAGAGAGTTATCTTACCAGTGGTCTAGGGAATGAGACAATAGAGAGTTATCTTACCAGTGGTCTAGGGAATGAGACAGTAGACAGTTATCTTACCAGTGGTCTAGGGAATGAGACAATAGAGAGTTATCTTACCAGTGTTCTGGGGAATGAGACAGTAGAGAGTTATCTTACCAGTGGTCTAGGGAATGAGACACAAAAGAGTTATCTTACCAGTAGTCTGGGGAATGAGACAATAGAGAGTTACTTTACCAGTGGTCTAGGGAATGAGACACTAAAGAGTTATCTTACCAGTAGTCTAGGGAATGAGACAATAGAGAGTTATCTTACTAGTGGTCTAGGGAATGAGACACTAAAGTGGTATCTTACCAGTGGTCAAGGGAATGAGACAATAGAGAGTTATCTTACCAGTGGTCTAGGGAATGAGACAATAGAGAGTTATCTTACCAGTCGTCTAGGGAATGAGACAGTAGAGAGTTATCTTACCAATGGTCTGGGGAATGAGACAGTAGACAGTTATCTTACCAGTGGTCTAGGGAATGAGACACTAAAGTGGTATCTTACCAGTGGTCAAAGGAATGAGACAATAGAGAGTTATCTTACCAGTGGTCTAGGGAATGAGACAATAGAGAGTTATCTTACCAGTGGTCTAGGGAATGAGACAGTAGAGAGTTATCTTACCAGTGGTCTAGGGAATGAGACAATAGAGAGTTATCTTACCAGTAGTCTAGGGAATGAGACAATAGAGAGTTATCTTACCAGTGGTCTAGGGAATGAGACAATAGAGAGTTATCTTACCAGTGGTCTAGGGAATGAGACAGTAGAGAGTTATCTTACCAGTAGTCTAGGGAATGAGACAGTAGAGAGTTATCTTACTAGTGGTCTGGGGAATGAGACAGTAGAGAGTTATCTTACCAGTGGTCTTGGGGATGAGACAGTAGACAGTTATCTTACCAGTGGTCTAGGGAATGAGACAGTAGAGAGTTATCTTACCAGTGGTCTAGGGAATGAGACAGTAGAGAGTTATCTTACCAGTGGTCTTGGGGATGAGACAGTAGACAGTTATCTTACCAGTGGTCTAGGGAATGAGACAGTAGAGAGTTATCTTACTAGTGGTCTGGGGAATGAGACAGTAGAGAGTTATCTTACCAGTGGTCTTGGGGATGAGACAGTAGACAGTTATCTTACCAGTGGTCTAGGGAATGAGACAATAGAGAGTTATCTTACCAGTGGTCTAGGGAATGAGACAGTAGAGAGTTATCTTACCAGTAGTCTAGGGAATGAGACACTAAAGAGTTATCGTACCAGTGGTCTAGGGAATGAGACAATAGAGAGTTATCTTACCAGTAGTCTAGGGAATGAGACAATAGAGAGTTATCTTACCAGTGGCCTATAGAATACATTGAAGTAGCATCTTTTGGATTTAACTCCACAGCTCTCTGAAACAGACAAGAAAACTGCCTTATTCAGCAATAAATCCATGCCTGAAAATAAGAAAATCCACAATATTGCTGTCTCTGAAAATCACAAATCAGTTACTTTAAATATTGGTTTTGATTCTGATTCCTGTAAACAACACTGCATCCAGTAAATGACACTCCTCCCAGTAAACAATACCTCTCCCAGTAAACAACACTCCTCCCAGTGAACAACACGTCTCCCAGTAAATGACACTCCTCCCCGTAAATAATATGTCTCCCAGTAAACAACACATTTCCTAGTAAGCCACACACCTTCCAGTAAATGACACTCCATCCAGTAAATAACACTCCTCCCAGTAAATATGTCTCCCAGTAAACAATATGTCTCTCAGTTAACAATACTCCTCCCAGTAAATGACAATCCATCCAGTAAACGACATTTCTCCCAGTAAGTAAGCATCATGTCTCCAAGTAAATTACATTCAATCCAATAAATGACACTCCATCTATTAAAGCATACTCCAGTTAATCACAATCCTACCAGCAAGCAACACTCTTTCCAGGAAATGACATCAATCCCAGCAACAACACTCCTCCCAATAAATTACACTCCATCCAGAAATTGCAATTCACAAAGTCAACAACACTTCTCCCAGTAAATGATACTCCTCCTAGTAAACAACACTTCTCTCAGTAAATGATACTCCTCCTAGTACACAACACTTCTCCCAGTAAATGATACTCCTCCTAGTACACAACACTTCTCCCAGTAAATGATAATCTCCACCTAGTAAACAACACTTCTCCCAGTAAATGATACTCCTCCTAGTAAACAACACTTCTCCCAGTAAATGATACTCCTCCTAGTTAACAACACTTCTCCCAGTAAATGATACTCCTCCTAGTTAACAACACTTCTCCCAGTAAATGATACTCCTCCTAGTAAACAACACTTCTCCCAGTAAATGATAATCTCCACCAAGTTAACAACACTTCTCCCAGTAAATGACACTCCTCCTAGTAAACAACACTTCTCTGTAAATGATACTCCATCCAGAAATTACTCTCCACCAAGTCAACAACACTTCTCCCAGTAAATGATTCTCCTCCTAGTAAACAACACTTCTCCCAGTTAATGATACTCCTCCTAGTAAACAACACTTCTCTCAGTAAATGATACTCCTCCTAGTAAACAACACTTCTCCCAGTAAATGATACTCCTCCTAGTAAACAACACTTCTCCCAGTAAATGATACTCCTCCTAGTAAACAACACTTCTCTCAGTAAATGATACTCCTCCTAGTAAACAACACTTCTCCCAGTAAATGATACTCCTCCTAGTAAACAACACTTCTCCCAGTAAATGATACTCCTCCTAGTAAACAACACTTCTCCCAGTAAATGATACTCCTCCTAGTAAACAACACTTCTCCCAGTAAATGACACTCCTCCTAGTACACAACACTTCTCCCAGTAAATGACACTCCTCCTAGTAAACAACACTTCTCCCAGTAAATGATACTCCTCCTAGTAAACAACACTTCTCCCAGTAAATGATACTCCTCCTAGTAAACAACACTTCTCCCAGTAAATGACACTCCTCCTAGCAAACAACACTTCTCTCAGTAAATGATACTCCTCCTAGTAAACAACACTTCTCCCAGTTAATGATACTCCTCCTAGTAAACAACACTTCTCCCAGTAAATGATACTCCTCCTAGTAAACAACACTTCTCCCAGTAAATGATACTCCATCCAGAAATTACTCTCCACCAAGTCAACAACACTTCTCCCAGTAAATGATTCTCCTCCTAGTAAACAACACTTCTCCCAGTAAATGATACTCCTCCTAGTAAACAACACTTCTCCCAGTAAATGATACTCCTCCTAGTAAACAACACTTCTCTCAGTAAATGATACTCCTCCTAGTAAACAACACTTCTCCCAGTAAATGATACTCCTCCTAGTAAACAACACTTCTCCCAGTAAATGATACACCTCCTAGTAAACAACACTTCTCTCAGTAAATGATACTCCACCAAGTCAACAACACTTCTCCCAGTAAATGATACTCCTCCTAGTAAACAACACTTCTCCCAGTAAATGACACTCCTCCTAGTAAACAACACTTCTCCCAGTAAATGATACTCCTCCTAGTAAACAACACTTCTCCCAGTAAATGATACTCCTCCTAGTAAACAACACTTCTCCCAGTAAATGATACTCCTCCTAGTAAACAACACTTCTCCCAGTAAATGATAATCTCCACCAAGTTAACAACACTTCTCCCAGTAAATGACACTCCTCCTAGTAAACAACACTTCTCCCAGTAAATGACACTCCACCTAGTAAACAACACTTCTCTCAGTAAATGACACTCCATCCAGAAATTACTCTCCACCAAGTTAACAACACTTCTCCCAGTAAATGATACTCCTCCTAGTAAACAACACTTCTCCCAGTAAATGATACTCCTCCTAGTAAACAACACTTCTCCCAGTAAATGATACTCCTCCTAGTAAACAACACTTCTCCCAGTAAATGATACTCCTCCTAGTAAACAACACTTCTCCCAGTAAATGATACTCCTCCTAGTAAACAACACTTCTCCCAGTAAATGATACTCCTCCTAGTAAACAACACTTCTCCCAGTAAATGACACTCCATCCAGAAATTACTCTCCACCAAGTCAACAACACTTCTCTTATAACATACTTACCACAAAGTGATCTTTTACTAAATATGCATTTTCTATCCTTTTCTTTGTCCCTCCATATTCAGCTGTCTTGTCTAGAAGGATGGCATACCACTGCAATATATGTAAAAGTTGGAATCAATTTCAAAATTATCATTTTACAAACTATTATAAAAGAATAACTAATGCAAGGGCTGTTACATATGGTAGTCAATATTAATGACCCAGTTGTGGCATGGAATGAAGGGTTTTAATGTGTGGGAAAGAAATTGAATTTCCACATTTATATTAAACATATTAAAATCAAGTTCAAGAAAAAGATATCATTAGAAAATGTAAGTGATTTTTTTTTCAGAAATAGACAAAGAAGAATATTCTAATAAAATATCCATGAGTACATTTGTACTTTGTTTTTTTTCTTCTTCTCTTTAGAAATTACCAAAAAAATAAAAATTTTGAGAGAAATTTAGGAAATACACACCTTATGACAAGCGAAGTTCTTCTCATTTAGCTCTAAGGCTTTCTTGACATAGTCAAATCCTTCATACATGTATTCCTTCTTTCTGGTGAAATTCTTTGTCATTAGGCTCATGTCACGGCAAGCTCTTGCTAAACGCCACAGAATTTCATCGTCATTCTCATCAAGATTTTCTTTGAGTAAATCATACAGAGCTATTGTTTTATTCGCATCGTATAATTCGTCCGCCTTTTGTATCACTGATGGCTGTTTATCTTCCTTAATTTCTGCTTCTATTGAAGAGATGAAGTTTGAAAATCAAATTTTTAAAAAACTCAGTCTATAGAAATTCTTAGAAATACAAAACATGCAGTGAAACTTTCCTATTGAAACTGTCTGAAAGACTGGGCAAAAAATAGTGTTAAGAATAAGTTAACGGATCTGGCACCTGGTAGATGTTTATGTAGGAAAACACATCTGGTAGTTATAACTCTGTGACTGGTCAATGATCTATCAACTGAAGTAAAAAGCAGTATCAACATGAGGGCTATGGTCCTTAACGGTTATCTGACAATCACCAAATGCATGGACAAACCACAGAATTTGTTGATGATGGTCTGACAAATCTGATGAATTCAAATTCTGAACATTCCTTGAAAGTATCAGAACCTCATAAATGGTAGGTAACCCCCAGTATGTGCATGAAAAACAGTTGCACAATTATGTTACAAAATGACTACTGTTGTTACCATGTTGAAGTTTTGATCAGACTGAAAAATAATAAATTATCTCTTTCTTTTCCTTTAAAAATCAAACTCCAAATATTTTTCTCCTTGGTATGAATGAAACTTGAGAAGTTCACACTATTTGTTCTAGACAAGTTATATTAGATTTTGGACCAAAGCGTTCAATTAGATTTTGTCAGGACAATCACAGGATCATTTCAAGCATTAAGAAGGAGTAGCATTTTCAAGCAAAACATTGTCTAATTTCCCTTTTGAGGTCTTCGCCCCAAGACCCTAGGGATTGAATCAAATTTCTGAATTTGATTTAAGAAATGATTATCCACCCACAATGATGGGGTTTTTTTGTACCACATTCGGTTTAAATCCATTAAATCCTTGAGGAAGAGCAGCATTTTGAAGCACAATTTTTTATTAACTTTCCCATTTGGTCCCTAGGGATCAAATGAAATTTCTGAATTTGAGAAATGATCCCCTACTCCCAATGATGTTTCGGACCAAAATATTTTCAATTCCATGATTGAGAGCTCTAAATATGACATCTTCATGTCTCCTACCTTCTTTCTTGACAAACCAGCTTACAGCGCTTACTGTTGTTAAGGAGGATAAAACAGGTCGCCTTGACAACAACTTCAACATAGAGCATTTCTGAAATGTATTTACAAAGCAGGGGATTACTTGTACATCACCACTTGGCAGTTTACAGGGGATGAGGAAGAATTACCACATGTTTATCAAGTCTCTAATTAGAATTTGATATGAAAAAATCCTCTAACATGTAAAGATGTCAAGAAGCAAATGAAATTACATCTCCTGGCTGAAACAATCTGATAGGTTTTTCTTCATATGTTACACTTTTTTTCTGAAAAATGATAGTATTTTCATGAGCTTCTATAAAAAAGGAAAACTGAATACAGAGTGTTCATACACTATATATCCCTGTTAAAAAGAATATTATTTTTGTGAAAAGTGTATTATTACATATAAACAACAGGCCAAATGGACCTGTATCTGTCATCTGTTCAGCATCTTTAAAAATTCTTTGATAGTAGTTCATCCCGGCATGCTAGAGGCCCAATGTTGGTGCCTCGGACTCTTGGTTACCCCATCTCTATCAGAGTTGTTGTCCACCTCTGTTAACAGCTTACTAATAGCTTCCAAGTAAAGATCAATATTTGGCATTAGGAAAAATTATGATGGTATCCCTGACACCACTGAAGACTGTGTCCTGGGAGGTTTTCCGTAAGACACTCATGTCTTCGTGATAGCTCAGTAGAGTGTTAGTTGTGCATGCTTCACGTTAATTTCAACAGTGAATTTCAATACTTTTCCGTCGATAAATCAGAATTATATTTTGTATGTTGTAGGTGCTAAAAATCCCCATGACACTCTTAGTTCATTCATTCCTCCCGGGACACTTATTAGATACACTGGTACCCGTTATATAACCCGCGACTGCGTGTAGTGTATGTTAGCATAGATTGTTATCAGTCGAAACTCTCTGAAAGTAAAATTAGCTATAATGAAACTAAATTCAGAGCTAGTTGAAACAGTTCCTTCCAATGCTTTTCCAAGAGTATATGAATAGGGTAATCTTCGCTGGTTCGTCTAGGCTAGTGAGTGACTGTGACTAGCAAGTTCGTGGTATTTCATACAAATATTTGTTTTTAGAATCTGTCACACTTGACCTACCTGTATTGTATACCATCGGTTCTTCAGAAAGTGTGTTCTTGCATAATTACGATGTAAATATGATGCAAATTTCTGTGACGGTTTGAACAGTTTGATAAACCTGTGCAGATTCTCCATGGTCGCCGCCATGTTTGTTGTTCCAGAGTGTTGAGCGAAATGACCTTCAACGCGGAGAGTTCCAAGAGCTGAGCAACCGCCTGATTATGAAAACAGCATGCTGTGATCCGATTATTAACTTGGCTCTACAGGTGGCGCTAAGATCCGACAAAGTTTTCAGTTGTCTCCTAAAATTGTTCATTACATTTTGCCTATTTTTGGGTTTTAGAATTAAATATGGGAATTCGATGATAAGTAGCAACCTTAATATAAAAAGGTATTACATGATGGCAAACACTGCAAGATAGTGTTTACATATTTTGTTCGTACTTACAAATACGATGAATATTATATTGGCCAACTTCCTTTTTTCTCAAATTTTCTTAAACAATAAATGGCTAAATAATGCACTCCTGTCCTCCCTTAATAAATAGTTAAAATAAATGAATGAATAAATAAATACAATGACATAACTCCTTAGGTACAAGGTAGAGTGGTCATACTATGCATGTACAAAGCTTCTTATCCGTGAACACCTGCACCCAGACCCATTTGTGACGTTAGACATATCCTCAATGGATATTTAAAATCCTGCCTTTCCGACGCGTCTATGAGTCTGATATTTCTGAACGGAGTGCTTGTCATAACAGTTACAGATAAACTCGTAGACCAGCAGTGGGCCTTAAACCCCAAAAAGAAAAGAAGAAAGTGTCTACCACCTGCTATATGTATGGATAGTTAGCTTGTCGTTTATTCGTTGAGAAATGTTGATACTGTACTTAACCAGAGACGTATATATGTGTTATATATGTCTCTGACTTAACCATATATCTTGCTACATATATTGGATTTCTATGAGGACGCATAGAAGCCACCCTTTCCGTTTTCGTTGTGGATTTCATATATGCATAAATCACGATCAGAGGATGTTCAAAAAATGTTTTGTGAATAAAATATATCTCTCTTCAACTTACGTACAGGTCGTTTACAAACTGACAGTTACACTACGTACTATTAAATGGATGTAACACATTATGGTGTTACAAGAAAGTTATAAAAAGAGTGTTGAGACTTGAGTGGTCTGTTGGTCGGTGTCTTTAAGTAATATGGCGTGCGTTTTAGCACGGACTTCAGTATCTCGGTGGTCCATGGTTTAGTCTAACATTTTAATAAGTTTTCTAGCACGGACACATCTGAAGGTGAACTTTTCCGGCCCTAATATGACACTAGTTTATATAAAGGAATGACTGGTTTTATAGGCCTCTGTCCGTATAATTATAGTACAACACATCCCAAGTATATCCTTTGGAAGAACCCAGGGTTACAGGACACCCTGCACGTTACACATGCTGCGTTTTAAATATAGCACAGTTCAAAATGTCGTCGTCCCTCTGAAATAATCAAAGATTGAAAAATTGATATTTATTGATTTTGGGGATTGGTGCATTTCTCCATCTAGTTTTTTATTTAAATTGTGACAAATTTTGTTCTCTCTGTCGCCTACTTAGTTTCAGCTACAATTTGAAATTTAGAAACTTAGCATCATTGACGAGTGTTACAAGGACGAATCGGCTGTATGATGCAGTTTAATTCATTATTTGGATCTGCTGTATTTAATCTAAATTTGTATTGAAAGATACAATACACTTGTGTGTCTTTGGTACAACCTTCTGTATACTGAAATACATGGGTATGCATGCAGTATGTCAGTTTTGGGCAGAATTTGACTATATATATACACAAACATATTTTAGTACTTCGGCATCACATAAATTTCCTTCTCACATTACATCCATGTAAATTCAGGAACATATGATTTATTTTGGTGTGGCCCGATTGGTGTGCAAAACAAAGTTTACCACCAAAATTAATATGTGTTCTTTTATACTAGGTCCATTCCATTGACACAAAAACGTGGTTGTGTGCGCTATCTACTTACATTACAAAAATGAAACAACTAATAAAATGATTTGGGATAAGAAAATACTGAAATTCATTTTCTAGAAAAGACAGCTTTCTTTCCAAAGAAAGGAGAAAGCCAGTACAGCTACCATCGTTTTCTGACCAATAGTACGCGTTCAGCCCAAGCCGGGTGTCATCAGTCTCCTACTCAACCTGTTAACTGTCATTAACCGTTAATTATACAATCAGCCAAGCCTTTCATGCTTGTTAGGTCACCTGGGTAAATTTGTTTACTTAAGGTAATTACATGTGTTAGGTTCACGCTCATTGTGGTTTCCTAATTATCAATGGATCAGACCACATCAAATGTTTCGTCGCAGTGACCAGTCAATTAATTTTTCTGTAGATTTTTTTTTTAATCTGATCTCCAAAAAGTACCTGCGCACTCTACGCGAATATTTACGGTATGTACATGCTTGGGAAGAGGAGTTGTGCAGATTGTCAGATTTCTAGTTGATATCATCATTGTTGACTTTGGTGTCAAGAACTTCAGACTGTTGACATATAGGAGACCTTCTCTTGGCTAACTCAGTTTTGTTTTCAGAAGAGTCTCAATTAATCAAGCCACAGATAAGAAATTGAGTGCATTGGTTGAAAAACTAACGGATGATGCTCGGCTATTGGAGTAAAATATAATGGGATGGTTCATCCCTATTTCATTTATCAATTTCATCACCACATAAAACTGCTTATTGGTATTTCAAACCTGAAACGCCAGTGAAAACTTTTGTTGGAATCAGAAATTTGAGATATTTGGATTCTTTCTAAATACTTTTTGACCACAAAACAAATGATTAAAATCAAACAAGCACATACCAATTTTGTCCATATTCTGGGTTTAGCTTACCAATCTGGGGTACACCAAAAACAAACAACATTCCTGAGTTTACTAGAATTGTCCAAGACAAAAAACCTGCATGTGTATACCATACTGATGAAGAAGCACAATCATGTGTTTGATGTGTACAACATGTTGTTTGTACTACTGACTAGTACAGCCCAAATGGATAACGAATTATTGAAGATTTTCTCGTAAAAAGGGCGTTTCCCTTCAAAAGCTAGGATTACAAGCAATTTTGTAAAATTCTGTATTATTGGAAAGAACAGACACTATTACTCTGAAACGGAATGTTGTTACGACAAGATTATGTGAAATACTTGAGAAATGGGTAAGATTTACTCATCCCTCACCATCATACATGTATTTGTACAATGCATACTAAATACCTTGGCATACCTGATTACAGATCACAGGGATTTGAGATTATGTTTTGCTACATGTGAATTTGTTTCAACCTAACCTGCCTTTATTTGTTATTAGGGTGATGGGGTAGCATGGTAGGTGGGCAACAGGGTTGATATTCTATTAAACATCACCCCTCTAATATTCTGGTGAATATTTAATTGCTTTCTGCCCAAAATGTCTTCAACTTTCTAAAACACACCAGCAGGATAAGTCCAAATTCAACTGTAACTAGTTCTCAGGTCCATGTGTTATGTCTATGAAACCTTTGTTTCAGAGATTTGTTAAAGGTCATTTCTAATTTCAACCATATATATCGTCTTCTTTTTGTAGGAAGACTGTTCAGAATGATGATTACTAGCAAAGTAATTCAGTATTGGTATAACTACTTGGTATGGGATATTGAAATCCTGCCCTTAATATTGGTTTTGTTACATTGCTTTTTCAACCCAATTATATAACATTTAAAAGCATAAACAACAGACACAGAATATTAAAACAGAAACTGGGATTTAATCTCCAGGAACATCAAAAACAAATATATCTCAATCGACTTATAATACTTTAAAATATATCGGACAAATGAATAAACATCAAATACTTCAATAACACTTCAAAATTCAGCACTGACTGAGGACATTATTCAACATAGGTGTCATTCAAAAATTTGTGAAAAATATAACTTCAGACATTTCTGATGAACACAAGATGACAAACATTATACATACTGATACATACTGTGGTACAATGTAGTACATTTGACACATGACATCCATGAATTTGAAATACAGACAATGTATACCTGGTAATTGAATTGCTGTTTGTGCATACCTTATATACACATGGTCTTCAATGTGTTTGTAATTAATAAACTGTTTTGTGAAAAAAAAAATTCATGTCAGTTCACATAGAACAATCATTTGCTAATTCAAGTACCAGGTGTAATGTAAAATATGTCTTGTGGGATATTATATATTTTTGTTGCCTTCATGAGTACTCTTAATCCACAAATTTCTTTTAACACAAATCAACTAGAATGAGAATTTTACAAGAACTTTAATATCTCTTAAAAATCAACGCATGTAAAAAAATAATTTTTTTGAAAAAAAAAGACCCAATGAATTTTGAGCCTCTCAAAATATCTACAAATTTCGTACAATTGTACACTCTAAAATTGTTAAATTCAAATTCTGTTTCGAAGTTTCATAACGAAAATGAAGTAAATAAGAAATAAATGATTTCAGTAAAAGTTGATTGAAATGGATTGAATATCTCACAATTAACACCTGTTTTTTTATTTATAAAACATAGATAGCATGTATAGTTCATGTTATGTGGTAAACATTATCACAGGGACTAAATCTAAATTTTCAACACCACACTCCATATATATTGTATAAATACAGATACAACAGATATAGACTGCAGTGTTGGGAATCAGTGTCAAGTTCCTGTGTGTAGTATGATAAAGCATACTGTATATACGTTTTCAAAAATATGATAAAAATACATTATATTTGTGGTATGATCAGAACTTGAAACTCTAACAAACTATCCCAAAATATGACAATAATATATATATATATGTTAATATCCCCCAGTCCCCTTGCCAACTTTCCTCTTTCTCGTCCGTGTGTTTTTGTTTTGGTAGAAGAGGGAGGGAGAAGTGTAGGCAATGTCATATGTCAACTTACTCAGTAGCTGTTTTCTTATCTTATCCATGAAGTAATTTTTAATGATTTGTGTGTCTTTGGTTCCTATTAAACATGGGTGTCCGATTCAACTTCAACAGTTATTTTTGTGTTTTCTAATCATGATCAATAACTTGTTCAATTGTATGTGTTCCTATGTTTCAGATACCAACACACTGGTACAATTTTTGGTATATACCTTTTGCAGTGCAGAGCTGCTCATAAAACACCTGTATTTACTG